GTGGATGATATTTGATCTCATACGTATATTTCTATTATCATAAATGCATATTATAATAACAACAGAAATTGTGACAATAAAAGAAGGTCCAATGAAATATTATAGAGAAAATATTATAATTGCTAGGTGTAAGCAGAAGAATTGAGGGATATGTATATGTACTGGACTAAAGACCGCTTTCGCCGCAAAGATCGCGCGACTTGTTTGATGACACGAATTATTGTAAATGATACTCGGAGAAAGGATACAGGTAATTAAAATTACCCTTTCTAAACAACATTCAAAGTACATGAAAAAATATTCAACATGTAAAAATATTTATAATATTTAAAAAAAACTGCATTAAATAGAAGCTGTAAAGATATTTTACACTAAAATCATCCAAAAGCTGTAGAATGCTTAAATCATTTACATCTGTCTATGAAATATACCACGATCCGTGCCTAAATGATTTAATGTTATTTGATCGATAGAAATATATTATTATCGACACAAATTTATGCGTGAGCACTTCACTCGCGCTGCAGGATGTTTACATAAATTAAGAAAAAACTAGCTTCTTAATGGTATCTAATACCTGAATACAGGTTTAAAGTTCAATGAATTAAAGATGAATCTTTAACACTTACAGAGATCTATAAATTTATATTTTATGGCAAATTAATAACAATAATGTGTGATATAAAACAAGCCACTGAAGATGGATTGTAAGACTTTGGAGACCACCCATAGTGGAAGGAATTTATTGATATTCGAATTAAAATAAGAGCAAATTAATTATTGGGATAATTGATTGAAATTATAATTCCTCATTTGAAGCTAATGGTAAATGTGTTAGCAAATAAAATTAAATATGTTAATTTTATATGAATTAATGTAATATTATTGTATTTTGTCTATTAAATATTAATTAATTATTTATATTTCATATATATAAAAGAGGATTATTCAATTACAAAAATAATTAATTTAATTATTATGTATAAAATATTAAATAAAACAAACATTTGGCTTTTGGCAGAAATCACAAAAGTAGGGGACACCTGGTTCGGTTGTGCCACTCCATTTTTTTATCAGCAATAAAGTGAATAAATGGTAAATTGAGCATTTGTTTACGTAGAAATACCGAATGCTATTATTAAAAACGATGGAATAGTCATAAAATCAAATCATACAAAAAAGGCGAGTGTCACAACCATACCATCGACACTCCCAGGACGTTTGTGGTATAATTATGGATTAAAAAACAATAGCTATAAACACCAGAATGGTTTATAACCAGCTATGTTTAACTTACAGCAAAATAGCAAACAAAGTGATCTCTATGTATACAATCAAACAAAAATTTACTTTTGACTCTTTAAAAGCAATCGTGTTAATAAAGGGCGCTGAATAAATGCAATAATGGAAACTTGTTCAAACAAGCATACTTCATCTTTCTCCCTTTGAACTTTATTAAAATCAGTATAGTTTAGCTGCAATAAAATTTAAATGTATTTTTAAATTGATATCATGTTATGCAGAGAACTTTCATTATTTTAGACAATTTCATACAAATCTATAACGAAATTCTTGAATTTAGTTTGGATTGCTAATATAGTTCTATATTTAGCTATTTCTTCTGCCACTTTTAAAATTAAGAAATTTTATTGCATTAATTAAAATTAAAATAATCAAGTCATCTAGTCGCAGCTGCTACTTTTCTCTGATCATTCGCACAGTCGCATTTTACTGCTCTATATATTCTGACTCATCCTGCATCCCATAAAACGCATGCATCTATCTATTAATCTATTTATATTGACGAACGTATTAAAAGTATGAAAGATGAAAGAGACCAAGCTACAGTTTAACTCGTCAATGAATTATTAAATATTCTATTCCTTCGTGCTAAGCTTAAATGGCTAATTGTCACACGAAGAGCTGGTGTTCTGGAACCCGAGGTACCAGAGCTCCAGCTTCGCCTCGTGTTCTCACACTGAGCTATTAAACCTGACCTTTGCACGCTCGTGCAATCGTCATACCGCTAATTAGAGAACTTAAATGGCGCGAAGTCCTAGATCTATCGCGATTTTGTTATGTTTTCTTCCCTGAACGGCAACGATATCAACAGAGACGAACTGGTAAAAGCAGCAATTGAAGCCAAGAGATAGTTTGAAATTTGTGTTAGTGATTTTTGTAGTATTTGATGCTTTTATGGATACCCGTTACATTACACGATTAATATAAATTAACTAGTGGGGTGTATGGCATCGTGCCTTAAGGCAAATTGCTGGAACTTTCCGTACCGTAACGAAATGTTCGAGGAATACTGAATGTTTTCAAATAGATTATTATAAATATTGTAACATTGTCTAATATTTATAAGAATTATATAAATTGAATTGCAAAGTTAAAATTATTTGTTTAAAGTATATTAGAACTTTAGTCAGAATTAAACATAAAATCTGAATTATTTTCGATATACAAAAAAAAGTAAAAAAAGAAAAAAAAAAGATACCAATTTTTTTAAAAAGCTGAAAGTTTTTTTGAATCAATTAAATTAAATTTTTTTGCACATTTAGCTCTGTATCTTCGAAATGGCTGACCCTGCCTTTGTCAAAAACTAATAATCACTTCTCCCAATCATTACTAAATGAATGTTTTTTAGATCATTCAAATCGGATGCTCCGTTCACTCAAAAACTCTATTTCTATTTTCTGCACTCTTTGCTCCATATCCCCGAAACGGCTGGACCTGCCTTGGCCAAAAACTAATCATCTCTTCTCCCTATCGATAGGAATCGAATGTTTTTTGAACCATTCAAATCGGCTGATCCGTGCGCCCGAAAACGTGACTGGAAATTTGTATCCATACATACACACACACACACATTCATTTTTTCTGAGGTATGCCAAAATGTTCAGAAACCTTCAAAACGTCGAGAAATGTAAAAATTTTCAATTTCGATGATCGGCCCATTACAATAACTTACCCTACGGGAAGTTAATTATTATTTGAATTAAATACTTAAATTTTTTGTTAGAGATTACTAGTTTACTCTATAAAAACTAAAAATTGCTATATTAATCTAAATTTTCCATCACTGTCTGATTTCGAAGTGAACATATTTCCTCAGCTTCTCAGCTGTTTTAAACAATGGCTAATGCCACTTTACATGCATGGTATATCCAATAAAGCATAAGCTTTATAAAAACTGGCCAATTAAATAAAAGCACGCATACACTCAATTAAAGTTTAATTGAGCAACGACAGGCCAATACGAGGTCAATATGATCAAATGCCATCAGAGATTTTCAATGAAGAACAAAAGGATTTATGAATGCATATGCTGTACAAATAAAACACTATATTTAAAAATTTCAAGGTAAAATATATATAACGTATTATTGTAAGTGAAAAAAATGAAATCAAGCAAAATATAGAATCTGACTTACATTAATACAATTTTGATCAGAAACTTTGCATCAACATGGCATTGAGTAGAAATGACCGTTAAAATTTCTGAACAAACAATAAAGAATTATGAACAAAATATTTTGTAATCTATTGTAGTCCATTATCCTTTCAAAAAATTAATAAACATCGATAATCCTCTTTGTAAACATGTCCACATATTTTAAATGACCTAACGAATTTTGCGGGTAAACATTTCACACGATATAAAGCGAAAGTAAAAAAAAAACTGGTTATGCAGGAAGAGAGAAAAGTATTGCAATATAAGGAAGACCCAAAAAATCGGTGCAACGTGTGTTGGTCAGTGTCCGTTCGTCCTAATTAGTGATGACCCTTGGCCGATGCCCCGCTGAGCGTCTCGACCAGGGTCGACGAGGAAAGTCAAGGGTGACCTTGCAACCCCTTGAAAACACGACACGCTAATCCGAAACGCCAATAAACCATCGTGGTCCCAAAAACGGATTATGCAAAACGATGAGACATTGAAACAGTGGTTCGAATGAAAAAAATATTGGTCTGAAACTGCTCTGTGGTATTAAAATAATGAAAGTTTATGAGTAATAAATTCTATTTGCAAAGAAAATTGGCTCTATCAAAAAATATCAAATGATTTGTCTAATAATAAGTATGAGTTTTTATAATGGTAATAACTAATTATAGTATATGCTATAAGTTATAAAGTTGATTTTTGTCATTATATGAATGAAAATTGTTTCAAAATGATTAAATATTCCATTTATTACAATATGTTTTAATATTTGAATGTCCAAAAATGTTCCATCTTTACAATTAAAATTTTTGTGTAAACTTGTGTTCACTACAGTTTATATTTGAAGACAACTCCCTTGTAACGGACGTATCACAAACACAATAGCACGATTAGCATAGAGAATATCATTCCAAATATGAAAATTTATATTTGCCAAACGGATTATAATTCCTAATGGGTAGAAAATAGAAAGGATAAACTTTTTTGTTCTCTGCGGACATGAGAGGAATTATATGCAGTTCCAGTCAGTATTTAAGCCGCATTTTAGTATCATACGTTGGAAATGATTTATGTGAGCGATTAATTGAAAAACTCTAAGCTATGGTTAGGTATGTTATATATATATATATATATATATATATATATATATATATATATATAGCCAATGTACCATCTTCGTCTTAATTATTCGCAGAGTAATTGTTTCAAAGTCTTAAGACGCGGTGCAAATACGATTTTTCTATGTATTATGCATTGTTACTGTAATCGTGATAAAATCAAACAAGCCAATTGTGCAATATGTGAGTGCGGTGGGAAATTCATTCCTTTTTCTTTTCCGCTTAACAACTGCAATTAGTGCAGTTATAAACGATGTTATTATTCTGTCTTTTACGTACTCAGTTCTCGACATATATCGTAAGTCCCATGTACCAATGTACTATATCACAAAAAGTTGGTTTGGTCAAAAACAATTTGTACCAAAAATGATAAGTACACACAAAACAATTTAAAATTAAATTCGCAATAAACATACAAAATTAATTATTGAACTCACCTTCTCGTCGCATGCCCATTTTCAAACATTTTTTCAGTCGACAATATTGACACTGATTCCTGTGATGTTGATCTATTGGACAATTTCTGTTCCCCCTACACGAGTATGTTAAATTCCTTCGTACTGAACGTTTGAAAAATGACTTGCATCCTGAAAAAATACATTGTACAATTAGATTTATATGCATTTTCATTATAAAAGTAATCAACAATCAAATAATATTTAACCTAGATATCAATTTAAAATTAGCGAATTTTAAGAAAAACTCATAAGTGCAGTTGCAAAACGATCCTAGTATTAATTGAACAATTTCAAGTGCACAATCAGTCAACCAATTTGGTTAATGTTGTAGGATAAATATGCATCACTTTATTTAGTATCTAGAGCATGTATAGAGCATAAGACAATGAAGAATTTGTTAATTAAATTCCATATCCAACGAATAATTTTTATAATTCAAAAAACATCAAATCCTCAGAACCGTGCATCTTCAGAGTGTGATAAATTAGACCGATACATAATAGCGGCGGTATGCCCACCCATTCAAATATCACAATGCCCTAACACAAGCTTATACATTACAAGGTGTATGCCACTAATGACGATCTTGGCTGAGGAACAATCCGTCATTAATTACAAATTATACGAAATAATTAGTCTCGCGAAGACTCCGGCATCGTAGTACGCCCGAACGAAATGAGCGTGAAGAGAAAAACATCGCATGTAAAAAAACGACATAGGTATCTAATACAAAAAATAAGATTCCGAACAGATTCGTAATAGTCTGAGATAAAATATTTTATAGTTATATTTAGGGTAAAAATATACATGAGGCACAACGTGAATGGTGGTTTTCAAATTATTTAAAATAAACAACAGTGCTCATCAAATAATATTCAAGAAATTTTTATTAACATGTGAGTATCGCTATAGACAAAGTATTAGTCAAATAGAATAACTGCAAATAAGTTTCGATTTAGAAAGCAAAAAAATGAATTGGGTACCCAAGTAACAGCAAAAGATCACAAAACATTTTTCAAAGACCCCAAATAGACTTTAGAAAATGAACACGATCAATTTAAATATTTTTGCATATTTTTAACTTCCCGTATGGTAAATTATTGTAATCGTCCAAAAATCTAAACTGAAAAGTTTTACACTTCTCCACGTTTTGAAAATTTCTGAAAATTTTGGCATACCTCAGAAAAAATGGATGTGTGTGTGTGTGAGTGTGTTTCGGGCGCACCGATCAACCGATTAGAATGGTTCAAAAAACATTCGATTCCTATTGACAGGGAGATGTGCTGATTAGTTTTTGGAAAAGGGAGGTCAAGCCGTTTGGGAGATACGGAGCAAAGAGTGCAGAAAATAGAAATCGAGTTTTTGACGGAACGGAACATCCGATTTGAATAAATGGTAGTCAAAGTTGCCCGAGTCATAATGTCGTTTTACTGATGCAATTTCTACTTTATACCAAAACCTCTATTTTGTTTATATAATTGTTACAATTATATCAGCAAATATTATAGAAAAGCAGTTCAACCGGTAAAAGCTCAGTTGCAAAATTGGCCGCTTGGATGTGTCAAAACATATTAAATGCTCAGCTTCGAGTGATTTATGTCTGGCATATTTTTTTGTATAATTCGTTATAATGTCTTGTCAAATTTTTCTTTTTACAACATTAGGTATATATGAAGATTTGTTTGTACGGCGCCGAAACACACCTGTCTCAAACAAAAGCTGTTCAACTATTTTTATAAAAACAAGATAAAACATGTAAAAATAGTAAGACATGTTTCTTAGGACCACTGAATAGCAATCAGAACAAAGTAGTTCTATAAGCCATGGTGATATAATTTTGATCTCAAATATAAATCAAAATTTCATTAATCTGTATGTTGTTTTTCCAGAAGTCAAATTTATTTTAAACTGCACTCACTGACTGCATATTTTTTATATATTGCTATGCATGTAATAATTGCAAGTTTGTTATATAAATAATTATAGTACTAATAAATTGTTACGTTTTCACTCAATTTTATAATAAATTAAAATCCCTCGTCACGCGTTAAAGCGTTTACAAGCGCGTTTATCTTCAGCACACATCACGCATAAACGTTGAAGCCCAGGTAAACGAAACCTATTAGCATATATAATAGACAAACATAATCAAATCTACGGCAAATTATTATTAAAGATTTTTGTGATAAGCAGATTATATTACACACTTGAATCATAATTGGTCACAACTGAGTGAGATTGTAAGAAGACTGGGGTAATGGATGATAGCCAGAAAAAAATCGTGGTAATGGATTGAGTAATGGAACTTTGGAGGATAAATTACATTCAACATTATGTAGGTAAATATGAATGCTGACTAAAGATTATCATGACATACATACTTTAATACAGATGTCTTGTCACCAATCCAAAAAGATATAGCAAAATTCCAAGATTAACTAAATAATATACTGTCATTAAACAATTTTCACCAATATTTTTATCATCTATTAACTTCCCGAAGGAGAAGTTTATGTTTTCATCAAAAAATCCGATTCGCTAATTTTATGTTTTCTCGACGTTTCAAGCCATTCTGAATCGAATGAGACCAAATTTGGAAAAAGTATGTGTGTGTGTGTGTATGTGAACAGATTTTATTAAATTGCAATTATTGTATATAAAGTTTGATTTCTATCTCACTTGGTTGAAGAAATCACAATTGGCGATGTAAGAGAATCAAAACAGCCTGCGAGAACACGAAACCTGTCCATGCGAAACCAAACGGTAAACCACGACTGAATTAAATTGTTCAGTTGTTAGAAAATCAATACACGGTCGTTACTTTCAATTTAGATGGAACAAAATTGAGGAGAATAACCGTTTTAGACAATAACTTAATTATTTTAATTGATATAGAATGGAATTTATCACGGGAAAAACTAAACAAAAATTGCCGTTCTTGTTATGCAGTTCAAAATGTTACAGTTCTTGCATAAAGTCCAATTTAATCCACTAATTATTAAAATATTATAAACATAATCAAAATAAAAAAAATTGAATATAATACCAATTTATTCACAGGAAAAATATTTTTTCTGAAATTTTCTTAATTTGTCTTTTCATTATATAGATTATCAAAGATATTAATGAATTTTAATGAATTTAAAAAAAACTAATTTAAATGGAAAATGAAGCATTGCCAAAACCGTTATTTAAGATATCACAAATTATTTCTTTTGTTTGTTTACAATAAAATTATTAATAAATATTACTATCATAAAACTATGATTATTTTTGCTTAATTGTTTCTACACTACATATCCGCAAACATACAATCACCATCATACTCCGTTATTGTTGGTAATACATATAAAATATGTAAATAAAAAATAACTATTCCCAGCTGTAGTCATTATGTCAGAAAGGCCGAACCGCGAAGTAGGTTCTCTTAACCCTAATTAGGTGTTATAAATCATTATATGTTTTTTGTTTGACTCTTCGTACTAACCAGAAGCACAAATAGGCCGACCATACAATGAAGATAGAAATATAGCATGATAAACACAGGAATGTGAGGAAAAATGATTACTGGTGATGAAAAATTATTGTGCCATCCACGCGATCATTGCAAAAAGACCGATACTACCTGGAGAGAACATGCATTTATTAGCATCGTTTTTTAGACTAATTATTCTATCATATAATCAGATTTGCCAACCAGCTCTAAAATTTTATAGCTGAAGGTTATGAATTGGAAATTCTGTTTAAAAACTATAGAAAAAGAGTTAATTTAAGTGACTAATTACAATTGAGTATTGATATTAGAAATTACGTTATTTATAAGGAATAAATATTGCTTCTGCAAGGTAAAAATTAGTAGTATTTAAAAACCATATTTATGAATCTGATAATAAAAATATAATACTACTCAGATTTGAAAAGTTGTCAGATTTTATAATAAGAAGTAATGTGCTCATCACTCAAGAAATGATCTCGGTATATTTTCTCAAACAATTGCTTTAATCTCTATCTCTGGTCTAGGATTGTGTGAAAATTGCATTGCCTATAAAGTTATCTTCATTCAAATAGCATTACAGATACCTGTCGACAAAATGAAAGAGTTTATTACACACATCAAGTATTTCTTATGCGCAATAACATTCGGAAAATGCAAAATTACAAGAGACGTCATATCAAAATGTGAGAAATAGTGTATTATACAGATCGTGCAAATCCTTTAATGCAACATAGATGCGCGACGATACGATGCCAACAGGCCTTATGCGGCCCATGAAATGGAACAGTGATCGCCAAATATAATAGAAAAATCTACTTGGAACGGTAATTAAATTAAACAGATTTCAAACCAATGAAGTGTATCTAAAACTGTCCAATATCCCTCGATGGAAAGCAATGTTCCGGGCGAATATCAAGGGTGAACAATCAAAATGTATCAGAGCAAGGTAAGGTGTATCCAAATTTTTAAAAATTTTAATAAAATTTTTAAAAATTAACAAAATAATAAAGCTGTATCATTATCTGATAATGAGTTATTAGGATGTAATTTGTATGTTATTATAAGTATCAAAATAAAATTAATTTTAACTAAATTTAAATTAAATCCAATACTGCACTGATATGAAACCTGATGCATTTCAGGTTGTAAAACTGAGCATAATAAGGAGCAAACCTGATGTCATTCAATTAAATTTTTAAAATACTATTATTATAAGTTTTTTTCGAAGTTTATTTGATTTTGACATGTGGGTGGAAAGCACTGTTAACAAATCCGAAAGGTGTATTATACGTCGCCTTTGGAAATGTGTTCACGCGGAAGCGCAGCGCTCTTTAAAACGCGTCCGTTCGTCTAGCGGCTACTTCGTGCAGTTTGATACTAGCAAAATGAAATGACGTTCGTGAATAGACCGTTTCTTATTTAAGAGAAAGAGAGCTAGTAACAAATTTCAGAGGAATTGACAAATATGTGCTCCTAAGACATCTTTCAACATCCTGCTAAGCTGACACATACGGGACAAAAGAGAGATGTTTGAAGAAACCATTAAATTTTTGACAAAAGTTCATGACAATTTGACTGAAAAATGCAGTAGCAGCTATGACATAAATCTTTCTACGCCCACATATGATTGGAC